CCCCAAAACCCCAAAACCCCAAAACCCCTATCTTCATAAATCTTAATGAAATCTCCATTATTAATATTTGGCTTCTGCTTCCACATTGCCAAAAATCATACTAAGAGATTAATTTTCAAGGGTAAATTCATATTTTTTTAATATCTTCTTCACCTTTTTGAGATCCAAAGAGTTGGTCACTCCAATATAATCTAAAGAAGTTCTGAAATATTGAGACTTGGAGAGTCCTTTTATCAAAGCTAAGAAGCCATCTATCTTGGCTGGGTTTTTAGACGGCCCAATAATTTCTGAAGAATAAAATCATAGACTTCTGATTGTATGCAGAGTTTGTGTTGAATTTTTGATATTACCAAAGTCAGGAACATCTTTCATAGAAATTTCTCAATCATTCAAACATAATTTGTCTATATTTCGGGAAGCACAGAGAAGCTTCATAAATGAAGGCTGGGTAATAATTAGCCCAGAAATGTTGAACTCAGATTCTATATCTTACAGCTAGCATTCAGGATCTGCTTCAGGCACATATCCATGTTGATACGGGCTTGTCTTCTGAACGAGAGAAATAATTTGTTTACCCGTTTGAAGAATGGGCACTGAGCCAAAATCTTGAGAGTCTTCTGATTGATTTCGTCTATATCCTTCAGTAATATTTTAGGTATTGCAAAATTTTAATGTTATTCTTATTTTAGAAACTTACTCAATAAATATGAGATAAATAATCATGGTTCAGAGGAATTATGTTCTTCAAAAATTTGAAATCTAGAAGATTTCCTAGAGATACACGGATTTCATCTAAAGTTAAGCCAAAAGGATCTCCAGAAGAGTCTCTAAAATCCACAGAATATTCCAATCAGGAACCTGAGAGTGCTTGCCATTCAATTTCTTCAGATTCCTTAAGAGTATTTTTCTCCTCTTCTCAAATATTGGATTCTTCTTTAGCTTTGCTTTGTCCTGTTGAAACGTTATGTCTGAGTATTTTCAGGGGAATTCGGAAATATTTTATGCCAAAAGTAAGATATAAAAATACTTATCAAAATATTAATGATGCCCAATAGCAATAGAGGATAATTGAAGTCTCTGTATATCTAGCCAACCACTATAAGCAAAATAATTTATAAATGAATGGCATGTATATTCTCTCTTAAACCAGGAGTAGCAGAAGCATATAGGCTAGGTTTCAAACATTTATGGGGATTTATAATTAAGTTGCTATTATACCTGAACTATTAGCTTGCAACACCTGCTGTAACTCCACCTGCCGAAGCAATATCTTGGATCGTCCTAGAAGGTCTTTGAGATCATTTCCAAGGCTGTCGTATTGTCGCTTGCATGCTGCATAATAATTTTGATTAGCAAATTGAGAATTGAGATGATCGATTTGCTTAAAATTTGATATTATTTTGTTCTCAGAAAGTCGATAGGTACCATTCTGAATTCAACCTCTCGGGATCAAATCTATCCAAATGGGTTTTTAGAGAAGCAAGCCAGCTATCTATTTGAACGGCCCTTTGTTTGAAAATGAGGTTATGGGCTTCTGAATACAACTCTATGGCTTTCCTATGAGCATAGGCTTCAAGTTGAATTTTCTGATATATTTCTGATATGCTATAAAATTCATCTGAGGCATCTCTTACTCATAAGTTAAGGGATGTTTAACACCATCTTCATCATCTTCACTCTCTGAATCCTTAACTACTATGTTTTTCCGCATAGTAACTGTCGATGCGCTTTGGCTGCATCCCATTTGTATAAATTATTATGTAATTTCAACTATATTTTTGTGCCACGGGGTTTTGGGGTTTTGGGGTTTTGGGG